ACACACACACACACACACACACACACACACACACACACACACACACACACACAGCTTTCAAGTAATGTTTTCCTGCCCTAAGGGTAAAATGGATTCATAAAGGAAAACATGGCAAGTTTTGAAGATGTACTCAATTTTATTTTGCAAATCTTGTCATTAGCTTTTCTGCTTAGTTTTCCACAGGAGGACAGTGTTGTCCTCTCTGTAGTGGATGTGTGTGTGTGTGTGTGTGTATGGGTGTATGCATTGAATGCAGTGTGTGTATACACACACACACTTCATTTTTATTTTTTTTTGAGATAGAGTCTCTCTTCATATCCCTGTAACTCACTGTAGACTAGGCTGATCTCAAACTCTCAGAGATCCGCTGGCCTCTGCCTCCCAAGTGCACCACCATCCCTGGCTTCCAGGTGATAGTTTAACAGTGTAAATGGCTGTTAGGCTTGCATAGGTATTTGAACACAAGAGTAGCTAAGAACTTAAGACATGCCTCAAATCTTCTACTTGGAAAATTTCTAACTCCCATATTTTGTTTAAAATACTAGATTATGGGGTTGTGGCAAACTTCCAAGTATGTACAGGCCAAGAACATTCTTTTTCTTAAAACAAAGCAAAACTGATAGCACTTTGAAGAAAATAGACAAGTCTTTCAGAAGCAAGCCTTTCACTAAGGATGCCAGTTCACAGAACATATTATTCACAGACAGTGTTCGCCTGGAAAGTGGCACTGTCTACCCTAACAATGATATGACTCTGATTGGCCTCTTTCTCTCTATTGAGTAACGCATTTTTAATGTTCCACTTGGCCTTGTTCTGTTGTATAATCTCTGCTGTTTAGGTTATGATGTCATCTGGCAGCAGCTTTCAGATGACAGCTAGACATGGTCATGAACACAGCTGGCCAGCCTCATCTCCATCCAGTCTTGGGTTTTTAGATGTATGCAACCATGCCTTGCCTCAAGTAATTTTTTTATAGATCCAGAAATTATATTTTGTTGCAAAGTATATTTTTCAGTGTTTTTAATAGTAAACTTATTGCATGTAAATATCAGCTAAATATAATACAGTTCTGACATAAAATTTTGATTTTTACATTTGAGGTGGTACATTAATAAAAGTTTACATGCTTTTAAGTATAAAATATTTTTAAATTCTGAGTATAAAAATTTATTCTTTTTTAATCTATTTGTGTGTGTGTGCACGTGTGTGTAATACACTGAACATATAGAAGTCAAAGGGTAACTTTCGGAGCTGGTCCTCTCCTTCTATCATGTGGGTTCAGAGAATTAAATTCGGGTCAATATGGTTGGCAGTAAGTGCCTTTATCCCCTCAGTCATTGCACCTGCCAGTCCATAAAGCTTTATTCGAATAAGAGATTCATATTCAATAAAAATTAAGCCCCTCATTTAGTTTGTGTGTGTGTATGTCTGATGGGTATGTGTATATGTGTGTGTGTGTGTGTATGTGGGGTATGTGTATGTGGTGTGTGTGTGTATGTGGTGTGTGTGTGTGTATGTGGGGGGTGTGTGTGTGTATGTGGGGTGTATGCATGTGTGTATGGATGCATTTACCCATGCACACATGTTTAGAGGCCAGAGGTTGATGTCTTGAGTGTCTTCCTTTATTACTTTCTACTTAGTTTGAGACAGCAACTCTTCGATAAACCTGGAGCTTGTTGGTGAGGCTAGCCAGTTGAGAGCCCCTGGGGATCTACCTGACTCCATTCTCTCAGTATAGGGGTTACAGATGCATGCTGCCATGCTTTTATGTGGGTACTTTTCTGTGGACACTGGGGATTTTACCATGCTGAACTCGAAACTCAGGTTCTCATACTTGTATGGCAGTTGCTTTACTCAGTGAGCCATCTCACCAGCCATAGTTTATATATTTTTTGATTCTAAGGATTTATTTGAAGTATAGCACTATGAGTATTGGCCTTATAATTTCTACCCAATGTGACCACTGGATCATTGAATTTTTGGCCCCCTTCCTATTTGCATGCCCTTGGTTAGAAGGCTGTATCAGGAGGTATGGCAATGCTATACTGAGAAGATTTTGCTGACAGGAGAGGTAAATCAACATGTCCTTTTTGCAATTTTAGGTCACCTTCCTCTGACTTCTCTGAGGATGAAGTTCCAAGGACAACAGCTGTTTCTAGCTGCACATTTTTCTTTAATCTATCATGCGCTCTTAAGCTGCAGCTGCCTGGCATCTGCTCTCTTTGGCTTTTACAAAGGGAAAAATTGTTGAGAAGGAAATTCCTGAGCTCTGGACCATTACACATGTAAAAGAAGTCATGAAACCTATGCACATTTTAGCAGGGGAAGAAAGAAAGCAATTCAACAAATTATAAATGTTAGATAAATTCAAAAATTTTAACAACATTCTCACCTTTACCAAATGTATACCCTTCATGTTTCGTGAAACCTGCTACGCACATTTACCATCTCAATATTAGTCTCTTTCTCCTGGCAAGTAAGCAACATGTCTGTGGTTGTTCTACTGTTTTCCCTGCCCCAGTTTCATGAAAACACATCAGAGGTTACTATGTTTCTCCAGATGCTCCAATCTAGTCTTAGAGGAAAGACCGCATTCATTTCCTGCATCAACCACAAGGGAAGAGCTACTGTTGGTGAAGTAAGGACCAAATGACAGAAAATGCTTTGCTATAGACCCTGAGGAATTAGATTAGATCAGGGTGGAACCTTCGGTTGCATCTAGCTGGCAGCTTTAGTCACAATGTAAAGCTTAACAGTGCTAGATAACCATAATGACATCTACTGGGCCAGAGATGTGGATAGAAGCAGGAGTTTCCCAGTTAACAGATGTAGATGGGGCAGTACTCCGGGAAGAAAGGAAGAGGAAGTAGGGTAGGGGTCATACAAACAAATGAAAGGCCACAGATGTTTTCTACTTTGTTTACCATACTGTAAGGAAATATTTGGAACAAGAGTGGTGATATTTTTAAAAAAGTGGTAATGGTGGAGAATCCAGAGGGAAAGTGGGCTGAAAGAGAAAAATTGCCTAACTTTTCACTTGGGCTGAACTGGACTCTAAGACAAGTCTTAAGACTGAGTGCTGAAGTATTCCAGACTCAAAAGAACAGTATGAGAGACCCAGAAAGTCAACATGAATGTAACACACCACTGAGAGAAGACAGCAATGTCTCAGAGAAGTACCTGTCTCTCCCCAGAGACTGTCAAAACTGTTGATTTGTGCTCGCTCTACTTCCTCTTCATCTTTTTCTGGAAGATCAAGTAGGTAGGAGACAATCTGAAACAAGAAGTCATGTCAGCTCACACTGCAGGTGAGAAGCCGTGCTGCTGGCATTGATCTGGGAGCATTGGGAGACAATCCGCTCACTAAATTTCTTTCATACAAAAAATCAGTACTGTTTGCTTTACAAAAGAAAACTGAAACCATTCTGATAGAAAGATGTTCTACCAGATAGTTTACATGTTTTCATTTAACATACTCCATATATCATGTGATTTAAAAATTACATATTCTTCTTACTTAAGCCAACTGACACAATCTCTTGTCCACCACCCAGTAAAGGTATAGGAAAGAAATGAGGAGAAAGTTGAGGCTTATATTTCCTTAAAGTAATTGTTTTCTTGTTTCCTCTCAGAAGTATGAGGACTGCCTGAGAGGGGGAATGACCAATTGCAAACCACAAACAAAAGTGACAGCTGTTTCCAGGAATCTGTACGGGAGTTAAGTGATTTTCCAAAGACAATACAAATTTCAGTTTTGCTTCATAGCCACGTGGTGACACCTAATGCCAGGACTACTGCTTCATTTGAGCATCCCCTGCCGTGGGATGGGCTCCTGAGTAGAGACCCATGAGAATTGATTCTATAAGTTTCAGTAATTTTACAAGCTGATTTCCGCCCCAGCCCCAGAAATGGTTTCTCTGTGTAGCCCTGGTTGTCCTGGAGCTCACTCTGTAGACCAGGCTGGCCTCAAACTCAGAGATCCACCTGCCTCTGCCTCCAGAGTGCTGGGATTAAAGGTGTGCATCACCACCACACCAGTTTACAAGCTGATTGTTAATCAAAGCCAATCATTTATTAAAACTTGAGTAATAAATTATATGAAAAAAGATGAAAAATACCTAACCATAGGCTGGAGATACAGCTCACTGGTAAGAGTTGATCTCAACACCACAAAACAAAAACAAAAACAAAAACAAAAACAAAAACAAAAACAAACCAACCAAACAAAAGCTCCTCAACTCTTAAAATTTCTGAATTATTTAACAATGTCCTATTATTATCATCTGTGATATTAAAGTTACTTATATTTATTGTATCTCTATGGATGAAACATTGTCACATGTGCTTCTATGCATTTCTTCCTACCTTCATGTTGAGTGATATAACACTGGCAGCTTGAAGTCAGCTATGGTATCAATAGTTACAAACTTTATAAATCAATGTTTTGTTTAGAACTAAACCTGAAATGTGTTTCCTTTTAATCAGTAGAGTTTACATAAAGGTGAGAGACAGTTAACAGTGAATCAAAAATCAGATTTAATGGCAGTAAAATTATTGAGAAAAAGCACAAATTAGATGCAACTCTACTTGTTACATCATAGTTAGGCTGCAACCACAGGTTGGCTACAGATTCAAATTTAGCCTAAGCCAACACCAACACTCAATAAACCATTCAACTGAGAACACTGTTTGTCACTGTGTAACTCATTCCTTAGATTAAAATTTACAATAAGCATAAGCTCTTATGTACCTGCTCCCTGGTTACAGTCTTTTCCTTCCCTCATTGTCAGTTACTTAACATTTCAGAGAATACTACCAAGTCCATGAATTTGCCACACTTGTTAATAATGTAGAAAATATCATTGCACGGTATTAATTATTTAGAGCGTCCTTCACAGCAGCCTTGTAAAAAAGACTTCAGTGACTTTATGGATGAAAACTAGGGTTCTAAGGCAGTAAGTAAACTGTGTGATCCAGGACCAAAACCAACCATTTTGAGGTTCTGTGGGTTGCATCCTTCCTGTCCCACAATGCCTGATCATATGTCCACAGGTCAGTAACTCCTCTGTGTCTTAGTGTCACAGAAAGTGTTGGAGGAATTGTGAGAATTCCAATCTCCTTTCTGACTCTCATGCTTGTTCCACATACATAATTCTAGATACTGGAGTATTTGAGTACTGCTTTGTGGAGTTTAATTCCCTATTCTTTACAATAGTGATTAAAAACTTTTCACCAATTTGGCTGGCAATTTTGTTGCATGAAAGTCTTTTCCCCACAGTTTCTTAGGTTCTTTAATACAAAATTTGGGGGAAAATCCTATCATTTTTTTTCTTACCTCAGTGTAGCCCATGCTGGCTGCAGCAATGAGGGCCTGCTGGATGGCATGGCTCTTCTTAAATACTCCTTGCTGCTGGCCAGCCATTGTCCAGTCACACTGAATCAGAAACTTGACAACCTCTAGATGACCTCGCAGAGCAGCATGAACCAAAGCACACTGTCCATTTTTGTCCAAGTGATCTACCTATGGGAAGAGAACAGAGAGCTGTGAGCAAGGCTAGAGGCTGTGTTCTACTCCAGTCACACTGGCTAACTGCAGGTGTCTACACCACCCTTTCTCATTCTGAACTTAGAGGGCACTTTCTACTCAGCCTATATTATAATTGATCTCCAGTTCCCCTGAATATCCATCCCCCTGGAGAGAACTTTCCCCAGAAAATGAGGCAAGGCTTTTGTTTTTACAGTAAAAGAAAAATAAAATAAAACCCTCAAGTGATTTGGTTGGAATGCAGACACGCTCTGAACTACAGAATGATCTAGATGGAATACAGACATACCCTTAGTACACACACCTTTAATTTCCAAACAATGTAGGTGAATTTAGTTTGTAGAAAGCAGCTATGTTTGAAATGTCTAACTGAGGGGCAGACAAAGTAACAAATCAGAAGATTTGACAGAATGAGTTATAGATAGGATCTGCCCAACTCTTATAAGAACAGACAGGAAAGAGAGGCTACTTAAGAGCAGTGAGGGACAGAGTGTGCCAGTTCAGAGGAGTTGAGTTGAGTTGAGTTTGGAACAGTTTGGTTCAATTCAGAGCAGAATAGTTGAGTTTGGAGCAGTTCAGTTTGTGGAGTTCAGAGACAATCTTTCCAAGCAGAGCACTTCAATCAGAAGGTGAAAGAAGCCAATTTGAATCAGTCAGTTTGGGCTACCACAATAGCTTAGTTGAACCAGCCAGCCAGAGTTCAGAAAGAACTTGAAAGGGTAAGTTTATTTGCTGTAAGCCTCCTAGACAACAATTACATTTGGTGAATAAAAGTTATACTTATATAATAACCTGATTTGTTTATCACTCTCAGCAGCTGGATTATGAATAGTTACAGAGCAGTGAGGAAGAGAGGTGACTCTTAGGATGGGTCAGAAGACTATGGAAGGGAAGGGAAGAGAGGAGATGTAGCTCTGGTTAGCAAGTGAGAGGACTTTTTTTTTTTAAGGTAGGTAAGATAAGGTAAATATCTATAAACCTACAAATATTTAGAAAAAGGTGATGTGAATTAAGAAAAGAAAAGAAAAGAAAAGAAAAGAAAAGAAAAGAAATAACAAGTGAAAGAAAGAGCAACAGACCAGGGTGAAGAGCACAGGGAGAGGTGATGCTGAAAGAAAACCACGTGCTTCTTGTTAGACAGGAGCACAGGCTAGTGTAGCAAAGAACACTGTTCTGTGACAGATGCTCCCTGAGACAGACACTTCCTTCTTTCCTCTTCCTCCTCCTCCTTTTTTTTTTTTTGTGGGCCTTTCTATATATCCCAGACTGACTTTAAACTTGTGATTCTCTTCCCTCAGCCTCCAAGTCATGGAGTTACAGATGTGCACTCCTTTCCTCCCCAGTGTTTCTCTATATAGCTCTGGCTGTCTTTGTAGGCTAGACTGGCCTCAACTCATGCAGATCTGCCTGCCTCTGCCTCCCCAGTGCTGGGTTTTAAAGCTGTGCACCACCATGCCAGGCTCCACATCTTGTTTTTTAGCTTAATCTTACTAATACCAAACACAGAAGAGATGTGATAGGACTCTGAAGAGAATAAACAGTGTAACCATCTGCTCTGGGAAAACAATGAAGAACAAGTTAAAAAATGGCATCATGGTAAAGGGCAGAGATGATTCAAGGACCTAGCTAGGATGTAAACTACACCAAGAGTAACATCAGGACCACATATTCTCTTTCTAGAAACATCTATTCCAACAAAGGAGACATTGATATAGGTGGGCAATCTGTGTCACAGTAACATCTAAGGCATCTGAGGTTCTGCTGAGAACCAGGTCTCATTTCCTCAAGGAGTCTCAGGAGTTTTCCTTGCTTCCTTGGTGACAATAATGAACATTTCAAAATGAGGTTGCATATATTACTTAGGCTTCCCTGTGAAACCACCAACATTCTTAGTTTCATGACAGAATCAAAATACCATGAGGCTACAATTTTCCTTGGTGGCCTACATCTGTGAAGCCAGTGGTTTAGTTTTTGTCAGTATTTTGAAATTGAATTATGCTGTATCAGTGACTTGGAAAATACTATGAAGAAAATATTTTGAAGGCTAGGATGATGGCTCACTAGGAAGACTACTTGCTCTGTATCCATGAGAGCCTGAGCTTGACCCCCAACATCCACATGAAAGCAGGACATGGTATGTACCTGTCATACCAGTGTTTGTGGGTAGAGACAGGAGGATCCTGCGAGTTCACTGGCCAGCCAGCCTAGCTGAAAAGAGAAGTTTCTGGTTCAATGATAGATTCCTTCTTGAGGCAATAAAGTAAGAAGAAAGCAAGAAGAGAACACCAGTGTCCTGCTCTACAGGACAGGGCTCTACATTTTGTACATACACCTATACATTCATATGCATGTATTCTCTAACACTACGTAAAAAAACAGCAAAACATTTGAAAATGCTTTCAGAGAACTGAAATGTACAAATAAATACTTGGAATGGCCTTGGTCAGTCTGAGTGCATCCATTTTCTTCAAATCTCAAGGAACTTTCTCATTTCTATGCCTAAGGTTTCTTTTAAGAGATGAAAGTCTGCGGGTGTGCAGGCAGGCACTGTTCACTTCAGACCTCCCACTGCATGCTCTTTGGCCCTTGCTTCTTTTCTGGATTTTTTGTTAGAGTCTTCTTCTATGTTTAGTAGATAACTTCTGGTTTATTAGGTAGGGATTTTTGTGGTTGCTGATAAATGCTGTCTTACAGGTGCCTCTCAAAGATTTTAAAACTGTGTCCTGGCTAACACCTGGGTATGAGCTCAGTGGGTCTTCCCTTTGATCTGCTCTGGATCTGGGTTGGGTTGCACCTAGATCACTGGGGTAACAAATGAGTTAGAACACTACACTGAGAGGAAAGAAAAAGAGAGAAGAAAATCAGTAGGAGTGGGCGGCAGTTACCTTGGCCCGTTTCTTGCACAGCAGCACCACAATGCTCAGGAACCCCGCTGCCGCAGCATACCCCAGAGGAGTCAGGCCACTTTCAGAAGAGGCATCCACATTGGCCCCAAACTCCAAAAGCAGAGCCACCATTTCTGTGTAACCAAGGTGAGACTGGACACATAGGATGGGGGCATTATTTAGAACCTCTGTCCGGTAGTTAATATTGGCACCTCCCAGAATCAGCAGTCTGCTGACCTAGAAACAAACACCAGACACCTGTTACATCTTTTCAGTTATAAAATCACTTGAGACTCTACAGTGGAGTTCAGTAGCATTTTTAAGAAGCATTTTAAAAAATTCTTTATTCCCCTTTGAATACTTTGCTTTAGAAAATAATGCAAAACATCTCTGCCTCATATATATATATACTGTTCATTAGCTAGGGTGAGGGATCGCACCCTAAGTGCTGAGTGTTGGCTCACTTGAGTGAACTCTTGATTGTAAAAGTTCCTCACCAAATAGAGGCTACCTGAGATCAATTTGTCCTACAGAACCCTTAGCAGATCCTATCCCTAGGTATCAGCTAGCTATCCAACAGCCCCAGTCCATCAGAATAAAACAGCAATTTAAAATTCATTAAAATCACTAAAAGACCACTCATTAGCTAATAGTCTAAGGAAAGTCAGAAGTCAACTAAATGGCAACTTGATGTCCTTCTAATTATATTTTCCAGTCAATTATTTAAGCTATTTTCAGTTTCTTTGTGTTTACCTTTATATTTGGAGTGTAGAGATTTCGTAAAGAGGCCAATGCCATGGAAAGACCTTCTGTGCTGTAAGAGATCCAGAGTCCTTGGAGGATGGAGGATGATACACCAACCTTTTTACTCAAACCCTGAAAGAATATAGGGATAATCAATGAACAATTAGTACAGAGGCAAATAAACAATAATAACAATTACATATATATATATTTATATTTATATTTATTTTTGGTGGAGAGACAAAGTCTCTCTAATGTAGCCCTGGTGTCCTGGAACTTACTGTGTAGACCAGGCTGAACTCAAACTCAGAGATCCACTTGCCTCTGCCTCTCAAGTGCTGGAAATTAGAGACGTGTACCACCACTCCCAGTGAGATAATTACATTATTAACTCAGCTAAAAGGTGCCATCAGTAATGAGTGAGTGGCCCCTAGGTTTTGGTAGTAATGAATGAGTGCAGAGTCTCATTTTAACAATGTTCATACATTGCAACTCTGATAGGGACAAAAACTAGTTTTATAGAAATATAGTAACTAAAATCGTCTCCATTAGTAGATAGATCACTTACCATTTTTTTGGCTCTATATCTGAATATAATTTATTTTCCCATTTTTTTTCTCCACTAGCTTTCCTGACTAAGTAACTTAAGTCACCAAAATAATACTGTGGCAGAGATAACTTGATTTTTCATCTTCATTTCATTTTCTTCCTGAACATTTGGGAAAACTATAGTTATTAGTCTCCCTTGCACACAGATGGCTCACATGACTCAACTCTGGCTAATAAAATCTGGGCTTTAGTAAAAGGCCTTGTGAAGGCTTGGCTCCCAACCTCACTCTGTTCCTCGCAACAGCAGATGCAGAGGATCTATGGTGATTTCAATATGCTTGGCCTATGGGAAGTGGTACCTATCAGGAGGTGTGGCCTTGTGGAGAGAGTGTGTCACTGTGCAGGCAGGCTTTGAGGGCTCCTAGTGCTCAGGCAGAAGACAGACCCTCCCTCTGCCTGCCTGTGGATGACAGCTTCTCTTTTTGGCTGCCTTTGTATCAAGATATAGAACTCTTGGCTCCCCCAGCACGGAGTCTGTTTGGACGATTCTATGCTTCCCACCATGATGATAATGGACTGAACCTCTGAAACTAACTGTAAGCCAGTCCCAATTAAATGTCCTTTATAGGAGTTGCCTTGGTCATGGTGTCTCTACATAGCAACGAAACCCTAACTAAGACAGGATCCAATGGAGCATTCTGAATCTTTTTTTTTTTTTTTTAAAGATTTATTTATTTATTATGTATACAGTGTTCTGCCTGTTTGTACACCTGCAGGCCAGAAAAGGGCACCAGATTTCATTATAGATGGTTGTGAGCCACCATGTGGTTGCTGGGAATTGAACTCATGACCTCTTGAAGAGCAGTCTGTGCTCTTAACCTCTGAGCCAACTCTCCAGCCCCGAGCATTCTGAATCTTAAGGTGATTTCAGAACTACTACTCAGAAGGAAGTTGCACAGTGATCTGCTCTAGACTGTACTATAAATGAGAAATACATAATTCAGTCTTTAAATTGCCTGGTGGCGAGATACTCTTCCAAGCATCTTGCTCTTCTGCTAAAATATGGGTCAACTGAATTAAAACAGAAAATCTTATGGGCAGGAAAACAGTAACAATAAAATTTGGGAAGTTGCATGCCTGTAATCTCAGTATTCAGAAGGCACAGGCAGGCAGATCTGAGTTTGAGGGTAGCCTGGTTTAGAGAGATAAAGAGACTGAGTTCTAGAATAGCCAGGGCTACACAGAGAATTCCTGTCTCAAAAAAAGAAAGAAGTTAAGTGGTCTGGGGAAGAATGGTTTTTTGTTTGTTTGTTTTTAAATGAATAATATTTCTGTTTGTTTTGCTCCTTGAAATGTAAGGTGTTCTATTCACTTGATATACTATAGAAGGAACATTTACAAAGAAATATTTGTTGTTTAAAGACATAAGTTCATCTAACAATATCAAGTTATAGTGGTTATGCCATTGCACAGAAGACTGAGACTCTTACTTTCCACAGAGAGAACTCTTCTGCAGAAGAAGTGCAAAGACAGAGAGTGCATGCCATGGGAGCTGAGTCTGTGAACATTGTCAAAAGGCTTTTCTGGCATAGGTTTCTTTTTTCTTTCTGTAGGGATGGTATGATGGCATAAAAATGGAATATGTATTTTAAAGAACAGTTTGTGAGTACACCGCATGAGGGTGTGGGCAGAGCAATAGCTAAAGAACTGCCTACAGCTGAGATAAACATGCAGACTTTAATTTTGATTTGTAAAGATATAGTGGCTACATGCTTGTGATCCCAGCACTCAGGAGGATTAGACAAGAAGATTTAAGGCTAGCTTGGGCTACACAGTAAAAACTCTGTCTGAATAAGATGATTCAAAACAAACAAACAAACAAACAAGCAAGCAAGCAAGCAAACAAACAAACCAGGTTATTTATTTTTAGAATTGGTCTTCCTTTTTGTACATTTATTGTTTGCTTTCAATTCTTCTTCCTGACCACAGTTTCTATTCCTTCCATTCCTCCTAGTGTTCCCCTAACACGATACCTCTCCTTTTCCACAGATCCACTACTAAAAAACAAACAAACAAACAAACAAACACCCCAAACAAACCAGGATTCCCAGGGATATCCACTGAACATGGTGTAACAAGATACAATATGACTAGGCACAAACTTTTATATTAAGGCTGGGTGAGGCAACCCAGGAGAAAAAGAGTCCCTTAAGAGCAGGCAGAAAGCGTCCCCCCCATTCCTACTGTTAGGAGTCTCATAAAAATACCAGGTTAACAAACAGAACATATGTAATTTTTAAAATTTAAAATGCTAAATATTTTTGTTAACTTTATACACAAGTACTGTATTTACATCATTTCCAACCCCTTTCCACTCCAATTCCTCAAATGTCCATCACTCTAAGTTTGTGACTTATTCATTAAGCCTTCCCCCATGCTGTACTGAGACCACTGACTGTTGCTCCTTTTGGCGTGTTTAGGGCTGACCACTTGTGTTGGATAACCTATTAGGAGGTTCATCCCTGAAGAAGGCTGACTCAGTGTCCACTGCTTGCTTCATATCTATAGGTGAGGCCTTGTGAAACGTTCCTTGTTTGTATTGGGATATTTACTGGTGTTGCTACTATGTGTGTCTTGTTTAGGTGACACATTGGTGAGATTTCATGGGTACAGAATCCCTATCATGTCTAGAAGACACTATCCAGCAGCAGGCATCCTGATACTCAGGCTCTTGTAATCTTTCCATCACCTTTTTGGCAATATCTTTTATTTTTTTCTTGTTTGCTTGCTTTTTGAGATAGTTTCTGGGTAGCCTTGGCTATTCTGGAACTCATTCTGAAGACCAGGCTACCCTCAAACTCAGAGATCCTCAGGATCCCTTTGCATCCTCCAAGTGCTAGGATTAAGGGCATGTGCCACTTCTGCCAGGTGTCTGTAATGTCTTATAAGTGGATTTTTTTTTGAGACAGGGTCTCACAATCATGTTTTTCATGCTGGCTAAAACTCACTATATAGCAGGAATAACATTTAACTTCTGATACTCCTGTCTTTAACACTCAACAGGCACACAATCCCTATATTTGGTTTCTTCTGTGTTGTACTGAACCCAGGGCTTTATCCATGCTAGGCAAGCACTCTATTGGTCATAGCCCTGACATAGATTAAAAGACAGTGTCTGTAATGACATGCCTTTGTCAAAGTGGCTGCCTGTGTTTAAATATCTCAACATGAACAGACAGCTAGACAAAATGAGGGGCAAGGATGCTGATCACTTCTACCCATCCTATCCTGGTTACAGATGACGGACAGGAGAAGGTCAACCACAGAGCTCGGTCAAACCCTGGAAAAGTAGACCAGTGGGATCTCAGAAACACAGTACCTCAGAGAGGGTGAAACAGAATCTAGATTAAAGTCCAAACATTACAAGAGGATTACTGCCCCTTTCAATCTCTTCTATTATTTAAAAATGGTTACTTAATTTTCAAATAACCCATACTATTTATGGCCTTGTGGAGCTCTGTTCTGAATCTTTCCACTAGAGTTGTCATCTGGGCCCCAAGAACTGGTTACACTGAAAGGATGAAGGGCACAGGAGAGCTTCTAATCACTACTATTTTAGAACTTCTAATTTGTGCTAATAACAAGAATGCTAATTTGCAAGTTTCTTATTTGGCTAATTAATCAGCTAATAGGCAAACACATGTAAAAATCCTGAAGCAAGTCTATCACTAAGTTATGATTGCTTATTTTGACACATGAGATCAAATATTTATAGAGTTCCTTTTGAAAGAATTCCAAAAGCTACTCAGTCAGGCTTAGAGTTAGGTTATAAGGTTCATCTTCACTGCAGAGCCTAGAAAACCAGGAAACAGTTCAAACTCTCCATCTGGGCCTCAGCCTCTTGATTTAGAGTATGTATGGGTTTCACTAAGACCTTTGAAGAATGATATAGTACATGAACAACTTAGAAAGTATTAATATCAATTGAGACTATCAGCAGTAAAGCCCCCACCCCATCTGATAAATTGTAGGTGAGGAAAAAAGAAAGGGAATCTAACATTTACTCAGGATCTAATATGTGTCAAGTTCTATAGTCAGGACAGTTTTATGTATTAGATTCTTGAGTTTAATCTTCTTTTCATAACAGCTCCTGTGAGATAGAACTCAATACTATTTACATCAGAGGAAACAACCTAAAGACGATTAAGTAAACTGCTCAAAGTCACAAAACTACTAGAGCTGCAACTAAAATACATCTTTTTGTATTTTTAAAAACCCTAAGGTTCATGTTCTGTCTATTATAATCAAGATTACTAAAAAGTTCACAATACCTGATTCAGGATTTTACTTCTGAATTCTCAGTTGGAAAAGTAACAACTACAATAGACAAAGCAGTTGATTTCTGTCTCTTTCCTTTACTCTAATTCCAAACCATTTTAAAGTTGGCCCTCTGTTTCATCCTAGATAACCCAATATACTCTTATGGCTTTATTTATTCTTATTATTCCAACTGGGCATTATTTGTTTCTTTTCCAATTGAAATCTGAAGTAAAGAGTAGTTAAAACTTCATACCTAATGGTTTAAATTATTTTCGTGACTTACAAGTCAGGGTGGTGAGCCATTTAACCTTGATGAGAGCTAGAGGGAAAAGAATGGAAAGGCTGGGTGTGGTGGCAGACAGGTGATGTCCCAGCACTTCAGAAGAAGCCACAGGAAGATCACTCCAAGTCTGAAGCTAGTCTGGTCTACCTAGTGAGTTCCAGGACAGAGAGAGCTACAGAGTGAGACCCTGTCTCAAACAAAAACAACCAACAAAACAAAAAGAAAAAGAAAAAGAAAAAGGAGAATGGGAAAGGAAACAGGTAAGACCCGATGCTGGTGGAAGGATCACAGAGCAGCTTTGGAACAGTTGTAGTGAACACAGAAGAAGGAAGTGTAAAACAAAGAAGCAGAGTCTAGACTTCTACTTGTACTACAGACTTTTGATTTATCCTGGTTGGTGGAGTTGATCCTTTGCTCTTCTGAGATCTGAGGAAAGTTTCAGCCAAAACTTAACAAAGATGACAGGTGATTTTTATTATCAGCCAGGATGTAGCCAAAAATACTTCAATTATTTACTCTTTCTGAATATTTCAAGAAAGCATGAAAAAGCAAGAGCTATCTCTTCTTAGGGCTTCTTATGTATGGTTCAAATCTAATTAACTTTGAGGCTGAGCTAGTGTGTTTCTTGGAAGTTTAGTCATTTATAAAGTTTAGCAACCCACAAACTGTCTATACAAATCTGTACCTTAATATTATAAATGTACTAATGTTACTAAGTTGTAGCTGTATTAAATGCTATGTTAAAGTAGCTAATTTTCTTAGCAATAGTATTCACAGTATTCATTCATATTCATTTCAAAAGTGGAGCTTCTCAATTATTTCAATAAATGTATAAATAAAATGTTGTTTATCCATACAATGGATATTATTTTATAATAAAGGTGCTGATCTAGTCTATAATGTTAACAAACCATGAAAATATTATGTTAAGTGAAAGAAGCCAGGCACAAGAGAATACATTATGTATTTCCATTTCTATGAGGTATTTTGAAAAGTCAAATTTATGGAACAGAATGCAGAGTGAGACATTACTTACTGGGAATGAGGTCCATTTTTTTTTTAGCGTGAATAAATACGCTAATGGTGGTGATAATGGCACAACTCCAAGGACACTAAAACTAACTCTCTCTCTCTCTCTCTCTCTCTCTCTCTCTCTCTCTCTCCCCCCCCCCCGAACACTGGTGAATTCATGTGGTACATAAAGTACCTCAAAATGGTGCCAAAACAAGAGAATTTAGAAGGCTCTGTAGCCAGCCCAATGTCCAGAATCACAGGTTTTTATCCTTTTCTTATTTTAAAGGCCATTAATGACATAAATACACCTTTTCTCAAACAAGTGAGGAAAATTTAGAACTGAAATAAGTTTGGACTGCCAAGGAGAAGTTCTAAGTGGAAGTGGATATGGCCATGTCTACTTTTGACTTTGTGTAACCCTGATAGAAACCTAGGACTTCAGTCTGGGAGAAGCTAAAGCCTCTGAACTGAAAGGATACTGTCAGCTGCAGCACCAGGAACACCAGAGTCTAGTTCTCATGCTTTAGCTTGCAGACACGTCATCACTCTATGCTGCACACCAGAGTGTTTACAGCCTGAATCACAAACAGAGCCATTCTTATCTCAGACAACCATGCTATCTGCATCAACATAAGATAAAACTGTGCTCATGAAAGAAGCATGCAGTTTAAATGTAGGTGCTTATGTGCTGAAGTCACACTTGGTTAAATAAAACCTCACAGTCTTTCTCTGTTACTGTGTCATTTATTTTATGGTGTACCGATGCAAGCATCAGTTTCATCTTTGCATCTTATCCCATGCAGATTGTATGTTAGAAGACTGATAGCTATTTCCCATATAACCGAATGACAATTATCTTAGTGTCTACGGATGTGATAGACATTTATTACCTTCTTGAACTTGGATGCTTGTGTGCTGTATTAGTTGTATTCTACTCATAAAGTAAGGTAACTGAGTAAGGTCATTTTTGATACAGTGAATTGTTAGACAAGACAGTTTCAATTCAAATAAAAGATTTGTCACAGTGGGTTCTACTTCTGTTCATGTGATGAACAAACTTCTCTGGCTGTGTGCTTATATACTGGAAAGAATTTGTGAGGCTCTTGAAGAACTGTTTAAGATACTTGAAATTTTCAATTCTGAGTCAGAGAAGAACTCTGAGGAATCACAGGGGTTAGAACTATCAGAATTTTCTTCTTGTGAGGTAGAGTCTTGCTACATGATCCCAGCTGACTTTAAAAGTCTTGGAAGTACTCAGCCTTAGCTGCCCTTGCTGGTTACATGTGTGCCACTATTTCTGCCCAAGACTTATTTTTGCCTTCTGCATGCTAGGCAAGTACTACTGAGCTACACTATGAACCCACAGGACTGGAACTGTCAAACACAGTAATAAACTGAAACAGTAATAGTGAGTAATAGTGAACTGTGGGCTAAAAGTAAGGGGAACAATTTCCTCCTATGCTTTCATATGGGCTATAAACTTCTTGGAATACACACACACACACACACACACACACACACACACACACACGTATGTGTGTAATATTTATGTATATATTGTTACTATATACATATATTAGATATATATTTATATATATATAGATTACCTTAAAGATGTGTGCTTTGAGGATGTGATGTCCTAGTTCAATAGTCTGCTGTCGGTTTAGTTTCCCTTCTTGGCGGGAGAACCAGAAGGCAAGTAATGTGTGGCCACTCCTGCAAAGAAAGAGAGTCATCTTAGAAAATTTAATGCCTCAGTTTTGCCTTGACTTCTCAGGTCCAGCCATATCTCCAAAAAAAAAAAAAAAAAAAAAAGACAGCATTAAGTTAGCATCTTGGGGAAGAATATTTGTTACTAGGCAAGTAACATGTTTGGAGATTACAAAAGCCATTTCTAGTCAGCTTATTCCCATTCCTCGTATAGACAGTATTAATCGATTTTCATTTTTATTGTTTGTCCTTGTCAGCAACTCTTCATCAGTGTCCCTCAGACTTTGTACTTGTTTCTTTTGTATTTTCACTGAACTAGTTCATCAGTCCTCACAGCAGCCACTATCTACAGCTTATATATATTTTCTCTACTTAGACTTCTCTGCCTTCAGCCTCAGCTTTAGAACTGTTTATTGGATTTCTCCATTTGGAGTGTCCCTTGGTACCTAAACTCATCATGTTGTAAAATGGACTGATGGTCTCTTCCTAGAAGTCTTCTCTGCCAGCCAATACCTTGGAATACTCTCTTTCTGATGCCACCAGTAGACATGTATAATCTCTAGTACAATATTCACCAACTGCTACATGCTTTCTTTTCCAGTAGATCAAGTTTCCTGATGGTATCCACTCCCCTATATATCTCTGATAACAAACTCCTAATCTGCTTATGAAAGAGAAAGGCCTCCTCCCAACTCCTTTGATATTGTCATATCTGCCCATGGTGTCCAGAACTGCCTCCTTGGCCCAAATCATGTGATCAGCTGACCGGAGGACAAAGCCAAAAGCAGGGCTAGGCTAAAATGTACTAGAAAAATTGAGCTTGAGCCCTGACTGTGTAGCATCTAAACTGCTCTAATTTTTCTTTAAATAAAGCAATTTTTTTTGCTGTTTAATCCATTTATATTGGAATCTTGTGTTCTGTCCTAGTTCAAAAGTATTCCAATGATAATATCTAAGGGTTCATCCCCACTCACCCCCACAAAATTATCTATGATGTTGAAGTGCAAACCTAGGGCTAAATACTTTTCCACTGAGCTACATTTCTAGTCCAGTGACTTCCTTATTTCCTTTATCTTTTTTCTTTGTTTCTTTCTATTGATTTAAGGTCTCATGTAGCCTATGTCTCAAAATCCATTTTTAATTTTTAAATGTATGTATGCATGCATATGTGTATGCATGTGAAGGCCAGAGAACACCATGGAGGAGTCACTTCTCTCCTGCCATGTAGGTCTTACTGATCAAACTCAGGTCATCCATCAAGTTTGGAAACAAACTCCTTTACCCTGTGGCCATCTCACCAGTTCAACCTTGAACTACTGATCCTGCCTCTACTTCCTGAAACCCGCATACAGGTGTGTACTACCATAATGGTTTATGTGATTCTGGGGATCAATCCCAAACTTTCCTACAAACTAGGCAAGTACTTTATCAACTGAGCTATATCCACAGGCAATATATTCTTTTAGTTATCAACATATATTTGTGTGTGGTAAACATGAATCATATATGTATTTCTATTTACATTATTGAAAGAAAAATCTAGATCACCTATATTCTCCATTAATACCTAACGCACCCTACTTTGTGTTAAAATGTTCACAATGTTTTTAGAACAAAAAACTGGACATTAGGGTCTCAGAAGTGAAGGTCTCATCAGGCATCTGCCACCATGCCTGATGAGCGGAGTTTCATCCCCAGAATCTACTTGGTAGAAGTAGAGAATTTCTATAAGTTGTTCTCCCATTCCCATGAGTACTGTGATATACCTGTGCACTTCTAAATAAGTATAATGAAAACAAACAAACAAAACAGCAACAAAATACTTGAAAATTTTTTTAATTAAAAAAAAGAAAGGTCAGTATCTGGGCATAATGACATACACCTTAATACTAGCACCTCAGTAGACAAAGAAGATCACATGTTGGGGGCCTGTGATGCAACAGCCTGTCCTAGGATATACAGCAAGATGGTTTCAAAACAAACCAACAAACAACAAAACATGCCAAGCAAACAAAAACAAAACAAGGTGGGAGGGAGTACACTAGGTTATCTTCTTCTCCCTTTCCTTCTCCCTCCTGTGAGGACTGTGAGGTGGGTCAGGTTTCACTTTATAGATATAAACCACCCCAGAATCTTCATTTCAGTAGGATTTTGAAAGAAATCTCAAATTTGTCTTCACAGAATTTCTAAACTACATGGATGCTAGTATACCTTGTTTAACCATGCAAGGTGAATCACATGGGAAATGATTTAGCTGAAAGAATGCTCTGACAGGTTTAATCTGTGTGGAATCATCACTATCATCTTGAGGTCTGAGCACAGGTTTTCACACTTACATCATCTGAAAATGCCCACTGAACTTTCACAGAAAAGAAACTGAAAGCCCCAATCTGTTATTAGTCTGGTGTAGCAGAGCTAGGGAAGTTAGATGTGACAGAGGCAGAGACTTCAAAATTCCATCCAGTTAGTAACAGTAGAGTCACTGGAGCTTTCCGGGTGTAAGTATTATTGTTTTAAGTGACTCATCCATGACTGTATAATTGTGACAACAGCTCCTGGATGCAGGCCTCTGATCTACTTCTCAGGCTTTAAGAAGTAATTTAATGAATGAGAATCCATTATAAAGGTATTGTAAAGGTAACGAAAAAGCCTGTGTCGACAGTGAATGAGATTTTCGGTTAAGACATAGAATTGGCTTTGTCCTAGTGATTTCTCTTATTTATACTATGGTACTTGAATTTCTCCAGTGTTCGTCTGCATCTAGAGATAACAGTGTTTGTTACTGCTGCCATTCACTGGGCACTGAGTATATGAATAGCTCACAAGACAGGGTGAGATGAGGTGACATTGTCATTCATTTCTTTTTGAATAGAAACATGACAGATTTAAAAAAAAAAAGACTTTGCTGGCTTTGTACCTGTAATTCTACCAACCATTCAAGAAGCTGAGGCAGGAGGATTTCAAATTTAAGATGTTATTCATCTTGGCTCCTAGTTCTCTAACATTATTGGTAACTTTTTAGTTGTGAAATAATGTGATTTTTCTCACAACCTCTATTTTTCTTACTCTTATTTTTCCCTACCAGCATTAGGCCTTATTTGTTGTCTTATTAAAGCTATCTCCTTGGGAGCTATGCCTACACTGGGCTTCCATAGTGAAATTAACAAAAAATTTAAAACTTACCTTTAAAGTAAAAACAGGCTGGGGGGGTGGTGGTGGTGGCTCATGCTTTTGGTTCCAAAACATGGGAGGCAGAGACAGGCAGATCTCTGAGTTTGAGGTCAGCCTGGTTTAAAGAAAGAGTTCTAGGGCAGCCTGGGCTACACAGAGAAACTCTGTCTCAAAAAATCAAAACTAACCATCAATAAACCTTAAAAAACAAAATACTAGACAACAAACTCTACAATGACAATAAAAACCCAACTCTCTTGACAACTGTGACAATACGCAGGTACTTTTCCTATATCTTCCAGTGATGTAATGTCTTTGCCTTCTTTTCCTCCTAGGTAGCTCTTGTCTCCTGGTTTCAACTTTCACCTCAATGTACATGACTCCCACAGAGACATTTCAAATATGGAAGATTTATTTTTGCTTTGCTGGCTGCCTGCTGGCTCTCTCTGCCTCCATCACTGTCAAATGAAAGTCATCGTTTGAAGCTTTTCCTTTAAAACAAAGACTTTAAGATTTTTTTTTTCAAACACGGCTAGATAGGCATAAAACCAAGTGCTACTCTTCCTCCTTTAACTCCCTTGCCTAGGTAAGTGTTAAGAGAATTATGGTTTCTACTCTGTGTATTTCAGTGTCTACTCCCTGCCTCATTCCAACAATATACTGCAAAAGTTCATCAAAATCTTGCTAAAAATTCTTCAACAGTTTATACTTCCTTCAGTGTTCCCTTTTAAAACTCTGCTCCAATTAGCTTCAATTGTCTAGATGTATCCTAGTCATTTGAGAACAGGGCAATTTAGAAACTGGCTAGATCATACTGGCCTGTATGTCTGTGAGTAGTGGTGGTGTTTGTCTTGATTACTGCTTCTCTAGCTGCTTGCTGGCTCTCTCTACCTTCATCACTGTTAAATGAAGTCATCTTTTGAAGTTGTCTTGATGCAGGAGGGCCCTAGATGAGTGGCTTGAACTGCATAAGGAAAGCTTGCTGAGTACAAGCCAGCATTCAAACCTCTCAGCATGGAGAACCCTTCCAAGAATCCTGCTGTACATCCTTGGCTGTGTGTTCCTTGGTCAGATGTAATACTGTGTGGAATGGCAAGCAGGCTTGCTTTCAAGTTCCTTCCCAGAGTTTCCTGGATGATGGACTAACATGGAAGCTGAAATAAACCCTTTCTTCCCTTAAGTTGAGTATTTCTCACAGAAGCAGAATGAAACTAGAACAAATCCTCAGCATGTTATTCCAAGAATATTTAAAGCCTGTTCTTAATCAGGCTTTCTACTAATCTTTATTGGGAATAGAAACCATATTTTTCACATAACTACTCCTAAGAAATTAAATAGTAACACTTTAGACTTGTATATTATAGTTTTCAAAGTAACAATTTCTAGAGTATCATAAAAACACTATACTTATAAGCATAGGAGTACTGTTACTTCTCTCATTTAGTGGAACATGAAAAAGAACCCAGCAGTATAAAAGACAACATATCTACTTGTATAGTATACATATATTTTTTTGAGACAGAGTTCTCTATGTAGCCCTTGCTGGCTTGGAACTTGATTTGTAGACTAAGCTGACTTTGAGCTTACAGAGATCCATGTTTCTGCCTTCTAAAAACACTGAATTTTCAACATAATTAAAATCATTAATTGTTTATGTTGACAAATTTAGATGTATTTATCTTTATGTGTATACATGTGTGCCTACGTGAGTTTATGTGTACTGTGTGGCCCACAGAAGCCAGATGGTGTCAAAGTCCCTGGGGCTAGAGTTACAGGTCATTGTGAGTGGCTTATATGGATGCTGACAACCAAACCTAGGTCTTCTTTAAGAAGCA